GTTTAGTCTGAGCTTTACTAAAGTTTATTTTGAGCTCTACTAAAGTTTAGTCTGAGCTCTAAAGTTTAATCTGAGCTCTACTAAAGCTTAATTTGAGCTCTAAAGATTAACTTGAGCTCTACTAAAAAGATTAATTTGAGCTCTACTAAAGTGTAATTCGAGCTCTACTTTGAACATCTCATAAAATATTTAAATCAGATTTCACCATCACCTCTGAGCTCCATGACTTCTCTTAATATTTCTTTCATATCAGGACTTTTTTTTTTTAAGAAGGAAATTTAGGCTTAAAATCTTATTTTAAAAATGTCATTTTTAATACGTAATTAATATTTAATCAGCACCAGTCTCCTTTAGTTTAAACTTTATTCCGCTAAAACTGCTGTTAGAGGAAAATCAAATCAGATGAATCACAAAGTTTTTAAATTATCTGATAAAACAAAGTTTTACTAGATCATCTGGTGAGCTGTAAGGACAGTAGAGTATTTTTCTCAGCAGTATAATAGTATACAGTACTTTCTGCAGTATAAATAATCTCCTGCAGCTTCAGCCTCCCTGACAGGCAGTAATGTTGTTTCCTGCACCTTAATTTATCCTGAACATCTGAACTAAAAATAAGATTAAAAAAAAAGGAACGAGCTGCAGCTCTCTGGGGACCCCTGCTGGACAGACAAGGAACAGCACGTGAAGACAGGCAACAAGAAAAGACCAAAAATGTTTGTCAGGGTTATCTGCACTTTCCTTCAAACCTGCTTCATTAATCTGATTATTTTTGTGTTTAAAAAAACACTGGAAAATGTGACATCATCTCTGAGAAAAGATGAAAAAAATTATCTCATTTTGTCGTGCATGTTGCGCAGTAAAAAATAAGCCTCAGAAGGCCCAGACTTCTTATAAAAGAAGCTAATTTAACGCAAGCCGCCTCGAGTGGAGCAGTTCACCGCTGCTTCTCATTTACAGTCGAGCACGGTCACAATAAAGAAATAATTCATAGCTGGTTTTCTTTCGTTATCATTTTTAAGTATTTTACTCTGAAGCTGGATTTCTGTTTAACGTTAAACCAGCCAGTTGTTTTTCTAATCGATGAAATCAGAAACGAGACGATCTTTAATTATTCTGATGTTTTGCACTTTGAAGTTCAGATAAACGGCTGTGAATGAATTCAGTATTTTTGCTGTTAACAGGTAAAACGACAGTATTGGTGCGCTCAGCTAAAAATAATTAATGGTATTAATTGAAATCTTTCATGAATCCAGATGTTCTGTGAGATGAAAGGATTGACCTGCTGAACATTTCCTGCCGGTGGATTTGCTTCACGTTGTTTTACCGCTCACGTGAAAACGTTTAAAATTAAATAACCAGAAACTGTTAAGAGCCTCTTGTTCAGTTTTTGTGTCTTCTCGTCTGCGTTGAGCCAAATGTTTTCAGACAAGTTTGTGAACGTCTCGGGTGTAAAAATGCGGCTGAACGTTCAGTTTAAACGTTTTCGTGTCGTGGGGAGACGACTCGATGCCGTTTCAGTAAATCTGAATGAAAACAGAACCCAGCCGTCCTCCGTGCACGAGGCCACGAGCACACGTTTAGGTTCAGGTTTTTCTGACTGGTCACATTCGAGCTTCAGCTCCTGCTCTTCACTTCCTGTGAACCAAAGATGGTTTTGACGTAGAATGGCGGCGATGGAAAACGACAGACGCGTGTTGGCGCTGACTGAAGCAGGTCAGAGGTTTTAACTTTCTGCTGGGAGACCAAGCGCAGCTCTGTGGGCACACTGGTTCCAGCTGCCTTGGATTCTTCACCTTCTCAATGAACACGTGACGGAACAATAAAGTAGTATTACACAGTGTGGTGGTTTGTGATTTGTTTCAGCGCCGCGGCGTCTTGTTTTATTGGAAACTTCTTCAGGCCTCATTTCTGTTCAGCTCTCAACATCCCAAAACATTTAATTTTGTGGATAATTCAGTTACTTTAAATCACATATTCTAAATGCAAGTTAAAATATGCTAAATTTTTATTTCTTGACCTTTTGGCCCCGTTAGTTCTGTAATACATTAATTTTTTTAAACACTACTGTTTAAATGATATGTTGTCTTTAGACACTTCTTTATACATGTTTAGTTTACAGGTGAGATAAAAATCACATTTAAAACTTTCATTTTTTTATTATTGTTAGAACTAAGCCAGAAAAATAAATAAAAGTATATTTCCAACTCATTTTAAAAAGCAAATAACCTGATGAAGTGCCAAATTTCCACATTCGTTAAAGTACAGGAGGGAATTAAAACGAGGGAATTTTGAGTAACGTGCATGATTTGTTTAGAGGTTAATAAATGCACAATTTCAAATTCTTGTTTAAATATGTTTCTAGCTATAACTGGTAAAAACTTAAGAATAAAAATTATGAAACTAGTTTGATTGGAAACTTCTTGGCGAATATCTCCATAAAACCTTTGCAAAATCTTAGAAAATGACTTTTTTCCAATAAATCTGGTTTTAAAGGTTTGAAATGTCGATTTCCATTTATAAAATGGTGTAACTCAACATGCATGTTCTGCATATTTAAAACGTTTTGTTCTGCAGTTCGTACCCTGTTAATATCTAAGAGCTGAACGGAGTTAACACAAAGTAACGTTTGGGAGAAAAACAAGGTTTCACATTTTAATGATTCAAATTTACAGGCGTGTCTCTTGAAAACGAGACGCGTTGTTTTTCAAGGCATGCATGAAGATGTGAACAAATACGTGTGAACTTCACGTTCCACCAGTGCAGAAACCTTCAGGTGTAAATAAACATTTGTGGCTCATTTTCTCAGCTTTGTTTTCAACTAATTCTATAATGCTCCATGCAGGATACCTCGATGCTTGTTGTACGCTTTAAAGTAGTCAAAGACAATAATGAGATCGGTTTCTTTCCTACAAACTGGTCCACACAATTCTTCATTATACCTCAGAGTCTGAGCAGGAACTTTACACTAAATACAAAACAACAAAGTAATATAAGACATTAAACTGTCAAAAAATGCAATAGTTTGAATTGTTTGAACACTTAAAAGAATCTTTAAAAAAAAAAAAAGTATTGGCTTTTTAAATTTGACCAAACTTTAAGTGCATTCGTGTATAAAATGAATTCCCTTAGAAGGTCCATGTGTGAACAACGAGCTAAAACCAGAGGTCATGACACTAAAATGGCCTCTCAGGCAGCACTTCTCCAGTCTGAGCGTGCAGATGACTGAACTTTAAGAAAGTGACGTGAACGTACAAAGACGCCTGAATTAAAATTCACAACTTCAGACTGTTTAAGGCAGAAGTTTCTCTCAGAAGCACAAGAGGAGCAGAAAACTTCCATCTTCAGCAGGAGGCTGAAAACAAAACGGCTTCGGGAAGGACAGATCTTTACAACGAGCCGAGGCCTGCTGTCACCCGTTACGTCACGTTCTGAATCAGACCCTTCTCCGGCTCGTGTTTGTCGTCCAGTTCCTCATCGGAGTCTAGAAGAAAAAGGAAGGAGGTTCAAATCAAGATCAGGTAGCAGAGCAGGTGAAAAGGCTCCTGAGTGACGAACCGAACAGGACTTCAGGTTCAGGTTCTGATCTGAACACGCCGTCGTTTCCAGAATACAAGCCGCTACTTTTTCACAGGCTTTGACCTGTGGCTTAAACAATGCTGCGGATAATTTATGGATTTTTTGTGTTGGAGTGGGAGGAGCTTCCTGCTGCCAAAAACATTTAGCTTTGTCACAGCCAGGTGCTCACCCAGTACACGTCCCTTTGGAGGGGTGGGTCACTGTGACGTTATTTTACTGTTTAACACACGGGGGGGGGGGGATAGGGCTGCACGATATGGATCAAAATTAATATCTCGATATTCTTAAGATAAATCGTGATATACGATATATATCTCAATATTCAAACATCTGCTAAGCTCATGGCACCAACCAATGCAGACATGTTCCTGTTTTTAGTATTTTACATCGCTTTAAAATGTAGCCGTTTTTGTTTTTAATATAATTTTCTTCCTTTTATTTTTTCAATTCAAACGCTTTCTTTGATGATTGTCTACTGTTGTCATCATTTGTTAAAAACAGGTCTCTCTTGTAAATGAGTCCCACGGATCAATGAGACTAACCTGTATAAATAAAGGTTGAATGAATTAATAATTTTTCTTTCCATAAAGTAACAACAAAAATATATTTCTGAGCCGAAGCTTTGTCCCAGTTGTCACACAGGCACATTTATTAACAGCTGTAACTACTAAATGTCTAAAAAATAAACTATTTACCGTTCATATATTAAATAATAATCCTCTTCAGGTGCACCGCTTCACAACGTTAGTAAGCGTGTGTGAAGCAGCACGTGAAGCATCGCTAAAGACGCAGTCAGCTAACAAGACGGCTAACTTTAGCCGTCTTGTTAGCTGACCGTGTCTGCTCTATGATAAGCTGCAGATTTATTAATGTCGCACCACCTCACACTGTTCCTCTCATAAAGCACAGCACGGCTAATAAACGAGTTTTGACCCGTGGTCTGTTTCAGGAAAGGAGGCTGAAAACACAGTCGGCGCTGCAGCTTCTAACTTGTAGCGCTGTTTGGAATGATGAAGAAGATTCGTACTTCTGACCTTTGTCAGGACTTGTTTTCAGCATCGTCTACAGAAAAACATTTTTCTGCTGCTCATCTGACAATTTAAATCCAAACCATCTCCAAATAACAGCCATTGTTTGTCTTTTTGCACATTCCTCTCCTCTCTCCGTTTACTTGTAGACTCCCCAAGCAGGAGGTGGGGGAGGAGTGCCGTTGGAGGCGCAGACGGGAGAAAAAGAACTACACAAAATTTCAAGTCTAATAATACTCGATGGTTGCGATAAAGCCTAATAGAAAATCTCGCGATACATCGACCAGCCCTAGGAGGGCATACCCCCCCCCCCCCCCGTTCTCTCCTCCACTCCTCGTTTCATTGGTTCGACTGTGACCTGTTTGGACTTTTCATTAGTCAGATTTTCTTTGGTAGTTTCATCAATACATGTCTCTCTTAGGGGGTGGGTCCTCGTGACTCAATGAAACTACCTCATTGGTTCATTGTGTATGACTGCCGGTCACTTGGCCTCAGGGAGGGATTATGGGTAAAATTTATGTTTGTGGTTTATCATTTCAGTTAGCTGTTTAGCATTGTTCTTTTAGTGATTAGTCAGTTCTTCTCATCTTAGTTTGTGTTCGTCGCGTGTTAGTTTGTGTTCATCGCGTGTTAGTTTGTGTTCATCGCGTGTTAGT